TCCATGATATAAATATTCTTTTTTATATATTCTGGAACATATGAATAGTAGTTGATAGTTTTATTAACATAACATGGTTTTTTGTATGTTATGAAAGAAAAATTATTAAGTGTATTCATGATTGTTATGTCAAGGTAATTTATTTTATTATTGTTTTCTTTTTCTATATCGAATTGAATATTTTTGTTAAATTTGTTAGCGGTGTTCAGAATAATATTATCGTTTGTTACTCTATTATTGTATATTAGTAAGTAGTTGTCCACATATCTCATTACTAGTTTTATGCCTGGGATATTATTTATTTTTTCATCTATGTTTATCATAGCTAATTCAGCTAACTTTGGCCACATCTTTGATCCCATACCGATGCCATCTACTTGTCTATAGAAGTCTGCATTAACTTTAAAATAGTTTCTGGTATATGCAAAATGTATCAGATTAATTAAAGTTTTATCTACATTTAATGTAATTAGGCTTTCCTCTATTAATTTCCATTTTATATTTGGGTACATATTTTTGACATCAAGACTTATTAGTTTATCAGTGTTTCCTTTCTGTATTTTCAGTATCCATCATCAGCATTTTTTATGCTGTACTTAGAATGATCGATGTCTGTTAATTGTTGCTTGATATATTGTTCTAAGTTGTAAAGTATAGAAAATCTAAAATCTAAAATCTACTAAAGGTCTGAATTTTTCTTCATTTTTGTGGGTTTTTTAATCTTATATTTAGTTTGGGGGTTCTATTGTTTTTGAAATTAAGGATATAATTTTTATTGTTTTCACTTATATTATTATTTAGGTATATGTTTTTGACCGTAGTTCTATGCTGTACCATCATATAACATGTAAGGTTTTTATGTTATTGTTACCCCTCGTTTTTGTTACATACTACTTACCAATGTCGTGAAACTCGCCTTGTTTTTTGTCATTTTTAACAGCTCTGAAGTGGGGTTGGGAATACAAGTCAACCCAAAATGCATCTGAATTAAAAAAGTGTTTTAAATAAACCGTAATGCTTTCTAACTAATTGCTGTTTGATTATCTCCCAAAATTATTGTTTGAATTGCAAAGATGCTACACACGGAACCATTTTTTCAAGTTTGGAAAGAGAAAATAATCCGAGGGGGCTAAATCTGGTGAATAGGGTGTGTGAAGAAGCAATTCGAACCTTAACTTATTGATTTTGGCCACCATGATAACAGATATGTGAACTGGTGTGTAGTCTTGATGAAACAACAATTTCTTTTTCACCAAATGTGGCTGTTTTTTCTTGATTTCATCACTCAAGCTCTGCAATAAGTTCGCATAATACTCGCCATTGATTGTTTTTTCTTTTTTGAAGATAATCAATGAAAATTATCCCACGCACATCCCAAAAAACTGATGCCATGATCTTGTCAGCAGATGGAACTGTCTTTGCCTTCTTCGGAGCCGATTTTCCCCTTTCAGTCCATTGTTTCGACTGTTGTTTCATCTCGTGTGAAGTGATAGACCCATTTCATTCATGGTTATGAATCGACACAAAAACTCGGATTTGCTTATTGCTAAGAAACATCACCAAACACTCGATTGAAACATCTTTATGACACTGTTTTTGTTCCATTGTGAGCAAACGCGGCACCCATCTTTGCACATAGCTTTCTCATGTCCAAATTTTCATGTCCAAATTTTGTGATGTACAGCATTTTTTGAAATGCCTATCATGTCTGCTAGCTCTCGCACTTTGAGTTGACAGTTATCCAATACCATTTTGTGGATTTTCTTCACCATTTCTGGCATGGTTACCTCATTTTTTCGATTACTGCAATGTTCTTGGCAGCTCGTACAGCCTTGTTTAAACAAGGGAGCAGACTCCCCAGAGTAGAATCTAGCTCAGCTTTGATATTGGTTGGACAGACCTTTTGAATGAAAGTATTGTATCACATAATGATGACCAATTTTTTCCATGTTTACAAATTCACTGGAATCGTTCACTATTGATGGCTGTCAAACAAATACTAAACAATGTAGCATCTTCAAACTTAAGCTTTATAATGTTGGTACTTTTGACCACAGTAATTTTTTTCAAACAACTACTGTCATCTATACATCAGGTTGGGTACTTCTGGGATGACCCTCGTATTAATATAAAAGTAAATAACATTTAAGCTGGGAAATAATATTACTTTTTGTTCATCATATAAAACTCAATCTAATTTTGTTTTCAATGCAATGTTAAGAAATACTTGTAAGGAAAATTTCACCAATCTCTGATCTCTAACAATTTGCATTTAGTATCTTCTGTGCTAGCATAAACTCATACCATTATCATCATCCATCTACTGTATTTATTTATATGTATGTATAATGTTATTCTTCAGAAACATCAACATAAATAATTACACAGGCAGTCAAAAAGTTCTTGGGATTGTGGAGCACTATAATGGTAGGATTTGTGGAAGTGTTTACCTAATCACCTTCAAAGTATGACTCTGGTGTTTTCTCAATTTGTACATGAACTTTATGTTTACACATTGTTCAAATTATGACTTGGTGCCAAAAGACAAACATACACATCAAAATGAAATGGAACAGTAACAGTAACACAACCATATGCTGAAACATATCGAGACTGGGTTGTAGTTGCAAGCAGACATTGTAATCTCCTCGCCACTGTATTGCATGTGCAATATTCTCTCTCATTTATCATCTAGAGAGAAATTCCAGGGAGTTTTTGATTGTCTCTGTATTACAATGCATTAATAGTCAAGTAATTCAAGACTTAAAAATGCATTTAAAAAATACAAATTAAAAAATTTGTTATAATATAGTATCCAGAGAATAGATATTTGACATATCCTCTGAAAGTGTCATCATTATAAGTAATTGAAGAGAGATATTGATTGTCTCTGTATTACAATGCATTAATAGTCAAGTAATTCAAGACTTAAAAATGCATTTACTAAATACAAATTAAAAAATTTGTTTGGAATGTTTCAATTGAATACGGCTACAATGCTATATATTTAGATTTTATTGAATATATTTAAATACGCAAAAGATTTTTTACTTTGACTACAATTGTTTATTTATTTACAAGTAATTGTTTAATACTAAGCAAACACTACGTTCATTTTGTTTAAATGGCATCAATATCCGAAGATATTTTCTTTTATAGATGTATATCCGCCATATAAATTTCACTAATATCAACGTATCTATAAAATTTGCGACCCAATTTATGGTTTTAAGTAATTATTAGAATAAGAAAATAATAAATAATGAAATTAGATATTTTAGGCAAAAAGGCTTATAGAAAAAAAAATTTTAAACAAAGTATGATTAAAATGTTTACAAATTACTAAAGTTTGGACGAATAAATAAATGGATAAAATGATCTGGAAGCTTATTTGACATAAAAGGAATAGAAATTCATTAGATGTATAATTTTGTATATAAAATTGAAAACAAACTAAGAAAAAGTATTTTTCTTAAATAGCTTTGATAAAGAATTCATTGCTTTATATAAGTTTAATGAAAAATTCAGTATTAAAAAAATCAAACATTATATTTTGAAAAATTTTTAGTATAGTTTTTATAATAAGTTACAAAAAAAATTAGAATAACAAAAATGATGTGTTTTATAATGCTTTGGTAAAAACACCTCATTCCATTGNATCGAGATTTATGTATATTCTAATATATTTTTTAAAAGAAACAAAATCACTGAGAAATGTTACGTGTGTTTAACAACGGGTTTGGAAAACTTTGAAAATGTTAACAATGGGTTCAGCTGAACCTGTGCGAACCCGCTGAATATCACCACTGTCTCCAGCATCAAGTTTACAACCAGAACCTTCAACTACAGGTATTTATCACCATGCAAATCTCATGTAAATTCTCTCTCTCTCTCAAGAACCATGGAGGTAATATGACACGTGATCAAAACTTCTTCCAAAACTTCAGACTATGAGGCGTTAAATACAATTAAAAATAATTTATTCTTGCGAGCGCTTTCGACGTAAATATGCACGTCGTCTTCAGGCAATAGAAATTGAACAGAGAATTCGAACCATACAACCGTGACATCCAACCCCAGTACTTAATGACACGTGATATATTATAATGCGTTTAACAATAAAAAATGTATAAAATGTATTTTCTTTTATAAATAAATGGTTTTTGTTAAATAAACCTAGTCTCTGCAGTAGTCACTTTCTGCTCACTATTTTGAGGTCTCCATCCCAAATCCAATTGCTCACTTGCAAGCTGTGGCTCATGTGGCCTACTTTCTAATCCAAACCAATCTGTCATCGCAGCTTCCCTGTCAATCGGGACATCGTGTTGTCATTCCTGATGGCATCGAAGAGGTGCCAACCCTCCGGTCACACATCATTGCTTCAGAGTTTATATGCATTGGCAACACTATTGCCTTGAGGTGTGGAGTATAAAAACAGCTAACAAAGGAACACTGATTCTTTGTTTGCCCAGTGTCTTACATAAAGAAGTGCAAGACAATTGTAAGGAACTATAGACTTGTTCTTTTTCATGACAGTTAAGACACAATACATTCTATATTTCTAAACTACATGTTGCAAATTATTGATAAGTTTTCTTTGATAATAATTATTCAGAATTGCTTTAAAATAATTGATAACATGCACATAAAACATGGACATGCATTCATCATTGGTAATGGATTTTCAATAAGTTATAAAGCAATTTAACAGAATGAAATTTTATCATCTGTTTTCCAATGAGTAATAAAGTAATCTTTGACAAATTTCAACAGATTACAAATTGCTTTTCATAACTCTGATATTTTCAACAATTATTGATTCTATTTTTGTAAATATAAATATAACTTTAAAACGATTACTGCAATTGCCTTTTTATTTATTTTTATTATTTTTGTTTTTAATTTTGTTCTTTATACTATGTTTTATCCGTCAATAACGGACACATATTAGCCCTGTAGGGCTCCCCAATAAGTCCACTCCCTGCTACCTATTTTCTTAGGAAAGAAGATATTAAAGGTCAAGGCTTTGGTTCGAAATGGTCGTTCCAACATGACTTCATGTCGTCACAACCAAGGCAAGTTGAAAAAAATCTTTGGGTTGGAAGAAATGATTCATATTATTTTGGGAAGTGGACGATATCAGTCTATAATAATAATTATTTACTTCTGTTAAAACTTCACTTAAATTTTTTGTTTTTTTTATTTTTTTCATTTAAATAAAATACAATTCACTACTTTATCAATTTTATTTATTTATAAAATCTTTATCCATGCCAATTAAAAGATGTAAGATACAAATTTGATTTCAGATACGATGACTTGGATCCATCAGTCACTCATGAAAATGCCAGTCAGTCAGAAGTTCTGGTTCCCATACGGTTGGACATGGAAATTGAAGGTCACAAATTGCGTGACACATTTACTTGGAATAAAAATGGTATTTTTATCATAAGATTTTTAAAATCAAAATTAATGAATCTTTCTGGGATCTTATTAGGTATAAATGTATGTAATGTATAAATATATTTACTGAAATTTATATATATTTACTGTAATATATAAATATATTTACTGAAATTTTTTTATACAGTCAAATCTCTGAATAATGGCCACTGGTGAGAACTTAAAAAAAAATGATTCATATAAATTGAAGGAAACCTTAACTTATTACATTTAACATTGTAAACAATCACCAAAGAAATGTATTTATACAAAAAAGTTTTTCTGTAACATGCAAAGTGCTAAAACACGTTAATTTGTAATAAAAGATTAATCTAGATAAGACCTATGTTAAATTATGTAGGAGAAAAAGGGGAACAGAGAACCTGTGACAAACTTATAGGTTTACTTACCCAGATTCAATTCCAAAGCCTAATACCCCATTTGCACCAAGCATTTCGATCTAGATTGTGACCAAGGTCGGTGACTATGCCGTGGTACGACCTCTCTCGACTGAAACAAGGTTCAATCGTGATCAACTCTAGAGAGTTCTCGAAACTAGAGCCAGTCATAAGAGAGATCCCACAATCCCATGCGCACGAGAAAATACAGGATGGCTACAGAACACGTGTTGGGCTACCAACAGAGAAATAAAAAAGACATCTGGAGAGATGACGACATCTGTCTATTATTAGATGTATGACAAGAAAAAGTATTTATTTCTAACCAAAACTTTCATTTTGTTTGTTGGTGTTAGTTTTATCATCGCATGTAATAGCTGGGTTCTTCTCAAGCGGACTGCCTTTGCAAACAGCACGACATTCAATTGGCAACAGTCACAATCGAGATCGAAGTGAGTCGTGGATTGTATGCGAACGTAGTATAAGGCAATAGATTGAAACCTTCTGTTCTAGCCATCCAATTGTCTTAAACAAATATTCATAAGAATATGGATGGAATGGGTAGTTTTGTGCATCATTAAATCTACAATTCAAATTTTTCTTCTGTCTAGAAGTATTAAAACTGACTACCAGTAGCTGAGTGGATAAAACCAGCGAACACTGATGTTGGTCATGAGTTTCAATCCAACAGATGGAATTTTCTGGGTTTTCTTCATGTGTCTAACACCTAAATATATAGTTTTTTATTCATAAAATAACACCAGATTTCACATGTGTATTTCCTGTATTTCTTATCTCGTACAGTCTTTGTGCATCTCAGTCACAAATGCAGCCATCCAAGTTTGATGAGTGTCACTCAAAATTCCTCTGAACACTCATCTTTGGTGGGTGTGCAGAGTATGTTCAGATGCATGCCATTTGTGCCCACCTACATACACATGACATGCAAATGAACTCCTCCAAGACCCAATTGAGCATGCCAGTGTGATGGCCTTATGGCACTAGCAATCTTTTTCTTTCCAGAAATTTCAGAGTATCAGGAATATAAACTGTGCTTTCATGTATCCCTTATGGGAAGAAATCACTTAGGATGGGTAGTTGTTCACATCAGAATCACAAAGCAGACTTAGAAAGAAATGCAGATGACTACTACCCCATATGAGATGAAAGCTGGATAGCTGAGTGATGAATGTTTTTATGCATTAGACTTCTTCATTGAAAACTGACGTGTTACAGATCTGCAATATCCTGTATTTTTCTTTATTATCCAAAATTTTTGTTTTGCTCAAAATCTCTTGGATATATTTTATTGAACTGGAAAACTAATAAAGTATTAAAATCTTTGTACTTTATTCAGAAGTTTTTCGTGATGATAAATGTATCATGAAAAAAAGCAACTTCTGCTATCTCTAGTTATTCAACTATTTCCATTTTTGTTACTAGAAACAAAATCAATTACTGTATAAGTGTGTAATGTACAGTACACAGTACATTGTCTACACGAAGAAAGTGTCAAATTATGTAGTTATTGGGCTGCAATTTGAAAAATTGCAGCCCAATAACTACATATTTTGGTTTTACATTACAGAATTTATAGGTCTGCAATTTTAAAATATTACAGAATTTATAGGTCTGCAATTTCAAAAATTGCAGACCTATAAATTCTCATTGTTGTCCATCTGTCCATCCTTAATTTTGAGAACAGAGTTAGATAGGCTTTCTATATCTGGTCTTGGCTTTCATCTAAGGATAAGAGGCCCCAATTAACTATATGCAAATTTCCAATGCAAATCTGAAGTCATGTCAATTCAAAAATATCCCCTGAAAGGAATTAGACACATGACTGGCATGACTTGATTGCTAAAGGAAAAGTATGATGCACAGGAGACACTACTAATTTGAAGATGGAGAGCATATTTGAAATTAAATTAATTAAAAAATATATGAGAAAAAATTGCAGCTCAGCATTGTGATGATGTCACAATGTTGCTTGTTAAATGTTAATTTCATCTAATTTTTTCCTAAAAATAATTTATTTTATCCAGAATCTCTCATCACACCGGAACAATTTGCTGAAGTTCTGTGTGATGATTTGGATCTTCCTCCCCTGTCATTTGTTCCGGCAATCTCACAGTCAATAAGACAACAGATAGAAGCATTTCCCACCGATAATCTCTTAGAGGATCAGGCAGACCAGAGAGTGATTTTAAAAGTATTTATTATTTGTTGACTTTAAAATTTTACATCCAAAGACATTTAAATGACTGACATTTTTGTATTATTAAATGACTGACATTTTTGTATTATTAGTTAAACATTCATGTGGGAAACATTTCATTGGTGGATCAGTTTGAATGGGACATGTCTGAAAAAGAAAACAGTCCAGAATTGTTTGCCAATAAACTATGCTCTGAACTGGGACTAGGAGGAGAGTTTGTGACGGCCATTGCCTACAGCATACGGGGACAGCTATCGTGGCACCAGAGAACATATGCATTTAGGTATGTTTTATGCAAAATTTAACTTTAATCTCAAAAGATTAAAAATTATAAACTGTTCTTTTAGTGAGGCTCCGCTCCCGACCGTGGAAATACCTTTTCGAAATCAGGCAGAGGCCGATCAGTGGTGTCCTTTCCTCGAGACTCTGACTGACGCAGAAATGGAGAAAAAGATAAGAGACCAAGACAGAAATACAAGGTATGTAATGTATTTAACTCTTTAAACATGAGATTAAAGTGATTTCGGCCAGTGTTTGAGATGAAATTGGCTGAAGAGACAGTTGTTTGACCAGTTTTGCTATACAAATTTCCCTCAGCCTGAGGAGTAAAAAAACAATAGTCTAGAAACTTTTAAGAGCTTATAGTTAAATTTGCTACTTTCTATGTAGTTGGAAACAATTTGTTTACTGTACAGTAATACCTCGACTTACGCGAACCCGGAGTTACGCGATTTTCAAATCTCATCGATTCGTCTTTTGTTTGAGCGCCACGCATCTCTTGATTACTCATTCCCCCCACACTTGTTCGGCTTACATGTTCAGACGTGTAGTGCGGAATCGACACATAGCTACAGTTTATTTTGTGTTATTTATTTCTGTGTTTGTTATATCTACGGAGACTCGAGAGACTCTATGTGGTGATTTCTTGTAACCGTGAACGAATCAAAAGACGAGATAAGATTAACGAGAACATTTATTAGCTTACATACGTCCGATTTGGATTTTACAAATTGAGAAATTATAGCCCGACTTACGCGGTTATTGCTTGGTCCCACCTATTGCGTAAGTTTGGGGTATTACTGTAATTTAAATTTATAATAATTCTTATATAGATTCATTGGCACAAATGACAAAGTATAATTAGTGATGAGTTTTTTGTAAAGTATTAATTTAAAAATGAAACTGTTTTAATATTTTTGAGTGAAAAAATGTATAAGTGACAGTCTTTCATATAATACAGTAAATGTTAGCATTAATATATTATAGAAATTTATACTTAAGAGAAAACTCATTGGTATATTTTGTGTGTTTAGTGTACTAAAAAATATTAACATAGATATTTCTTTTGCCAAAAGCATTTCTGCTATTGTAGTTTTGACAAAACATAAGCAAATCTAGATTTCTGTATTCAAAGTTTATAACCAAAAAGTTTTGTGCTCTTAATATAACTGTATAAGGATTTTTTAACACTTTTTCATATTTTCAATTAGCTGAAAGGTACAGAAATTGCAATGTATTATTAATGTGACTTTACCTATACATCTTTAGTGAATATAATGCAATTTTGGGTGGTTTCATAGGTCATTGTTAAGTATAATTTACTGAAAATCCTTCCTAAAATGTTCAATTTGCAAATAGTACTAAATCTGTATAAGTCAATGACTCAAATTAAGTTTGGATATTTGTGTATCATATAATAAGTGTAAAGGCCAAGTTCTCAAAACATAGCTCTAGAAATTGTTTAAGTGAAGAAAACATTTTGTCAGAACAGCATAAGATGTTCAGACACTGTACAGTATAATCATGCCTCAATTTAGTGTTAAATTTCATTAAACCAACAAATGGTAACAATACAGAATTATTTTGTTTCTCATTGTATTGTTATTGGGGTCTTTATAGATGGCGTGTCCTTCTAGTTCTGGAAACACTGGGGCCAAGAGCCCATGCTTGGATGTCTTGTCTGTCCACAAAAAACTTAGTTAGGGAACTCCTGGATGTTGTTCTGGCTGTCTAGAAGAATGCAACTCTGCAGTTTGCAAAGAACACAGAATCAAAATTTGCAAAGCTGCTAATGATCTGTTTGTTTTAGCGGATGAGGCTATCTGTACATCAACTCACTGTCCCAATAATGGAGTTGACATGTTGAACAGTTTAATCGGTGAAGCGGTTTCCAAATCTTTAGTGAATGCATTCAACAAGAGGTTTCCAAGGTCAGATTATTAATAGATAGCAAAGTAAATAAAATCTTGGACACTGCACAAACCATTTTTTTAATAAGTTTACTGACATCCTCTTACACTGGTGTTGCTGCTAGGGCTAACACAAAAACAACTACATTACAGTGATGGTACTCACGCTGTTCTTGTGTTTCCAAAAGAGAACATCAACATTAATCAGGATGAAATTAGAAATACACTCACGACAAACATAAAAACTGAACCAGCTACGGATTGCTGTTAAAGCGCTTTGAAAAATTAGGAACATCGGAGTTTGCATTCAATTAAATACAAAAAGTGACAGTGACAAAATGGTGGCTGCCATTAACTCAGTCAAAACATAAACGGATAGTTAGATATCAAATACTCGGCAGCCATACAACCAAAGGCTATTCTGTTAAATGTCCTGTGTGATGCAATCACCCACACCTTCATAGAGGAATTCCACATCCAGAACACTGTAATAAATAGTACACACATATTCTAGGAATTTCAAGATTTGCTGTGTTCTAACCAAAATAAACTGCAACACAACAGACACTTCTAGATTATGTATTGTCCTTCAGGTAACTTCTAGTATCAGGAACCCATTAATTCAACAGCAGTATGTTAGTGTGCAATGGACGATAGCTGTATATGACTGCATTCCTCTCACATGCTGCTACAAATGCTGTGTTTATGTCCATCTAGCTAATAAATGTACAAAAAAAAACTGCAGTCATTGCATGGGCAACCACAGCTACAAAGTTTGCCAGAAGGGAGCAAACATAAGACCACGCATAATGCATTCTCTTAACAGTGCCACATAACCAAATGCATGAAAACACAAGCTACCAGTAGAGTCAGCTATGAATAATACACCCCTAGGCAGCTATAAACTCATACAGATTAATGTACAGAAATGCCTACTCCATCCTCATTCACACTTCCAATGTACAAGATACAAACAATCATGATCTAAGAACCTTACACTATTAACAACATTATAGCCAAGATCCTGAGCTGGATGGACTTACCAGTCATTGAACCTGACTATCACATCAAGGCTGGTATTATCATCAGGAACAAAACATTACTGCCTGCCTTGTCTCCCAACAAACCACAGAATAAATTACCACAGTCTGTGTTACAGACAATAACACTCACCTTTACATTCCAGACACCACTAACATTGAACACATTCATCACAACCTGAACTCATACAAAGATAAACCTATCCTAATAGGATGAGACTTCAATGACAAGTCTGCGATCTGGCATAGTCCAAAAGATGACCCTAAGGATAACATGGTTAACAAAACCATGGCCCAACACAACCTTCTGACCTACTCCTGTATCACAAGAAAGTTGGATTGACCTAACGTTATGAAATAGTCACATCACCCCGGGGGATTGACCACTGTTACTAATAATCATAGTTTTCACTATACTCAACATTAACTGGAAATTGTTCTGCGACACCTTCAATAACATTTGGGTGGTACCCCTCACCAGTCACTATACTCAGGACACCTTAGACCATCTTGTCACCAGGCTTACAAATACAATCACTAACTCTTACATTATTGCCTCCAAGGTCAAAGGTTCCTTGGTGGACCACTGAGGTAGAAAACAAGAAAAAAGCTGTTAGGAGATTAAAGAGGCAATTTAGGAATGAACAGGACCTGGACATTAAAGTCACACTTAAGAGATCAGTATAGGCATGAACACAATGCTTACAAAACCTTTATAAATAAAACAAGGACTAACACTTGGAAGGATTTCTGTACCAGCAATTGCGGTCACAATCCCAGGTCAGAACCATACTACTTAGCTTGTGAGCAAAATGCCAGCTCCAAACCCCTTCCACTATCCAGCTACCTGATGAACGCTACACTAACAACACGGAAGAAACTATCATGCACATTCTCACTTGTCTTTACCTTCTGATGACCACTTTTGTACTGTCATCCGAAGTTCTACATTCACTCCACCTAATACAGACAATGACCACAACTTCACCTACATCGAGGTTTTGAATGCCATCTGTTCGCTCACCAATAACAAAGCCCAAGTCTTGACAGCATAATCACTAGGATGATAAAACATGAGTTTGAGGCCAATCTTACAGCATTTGTTATTCTCTTTAATATCTGCTTGAACACTGGCCTTTTTCCTACTCAGTGGAAAAAGCACTGGTGGGTTTGGGAATCAATTTAACACTAGCCTAACACTTCAAAAGATACAGACTGATCTGCCTTCTCCCAACTCTGGGAAAAGTGTTAGACAGGTCTAATGATTAATAAGATCACTTGGCATCTATGCAAGTGTAGAGCCCTGCATCAGAATCAGTTCAGCTTCTCTAAAAACAAAGGTACTGTAGATGCCATCCAACAGGCAATCAGCATATGGCAATAATCACTATTGACTTTAGAAGTGCCTTTGGTCACGCCTGGTGGCCTTCTGTCTTGCACACATTACACGCTCATCGCCAGCGGCGGCCTTATCCGTTGCGAGGCCCTTGTCCTTTGTGCAAAGTATGTGAATTGAAATAGTAGGCACTTATTAATATTAATATATACTGTACTATAAATTAAATTTATTTTATTGTTATAACTAATAGCCAAGGATAAAATAAAAAGTTTTAAATATCAACTTTTTTCTACTTGGTTGTTGCGCGAGGCCCCGGGCGATTGCCCTGCTCGCCACCCCCTAAGGCCGCCACTGCTCATCGCTCCCCTCAAAATCTTTACAAACTTCTTCAGTCCTATCTTAGCGACGGGAGTGCAGGCGTTTATACAACACAAAATAACAGTCATACCCATCACTTGAGGCTGTCCTCAGGTATCCAGGTCTGTTCCTGGAACACACACCCTATAACTCTATTCTGCAATTGAATATTACTCTGCCTCTTGGCAATCACATACAGGGCTATGTGGACAACACAATTATCCTAGCTTCATACAGGAACAGTGAAGCTAGGATAATTGCTTCACTGTTCCACAGACAACGAATGCTTACAGGACATATGCAATGACATTCACCAGTGGAGTATTAACAAAGGCAACAAATGCAAAAATATAGTTGCCAGGAAGCTTACCCTTCAAATAGGTGCTCACAGAATAAAGCAAACAACGGAAATTCAATATTTAGGTTGGTGTTCTTGAGATACTTAACTTCTCATCCCACATCAAATACATTGCGGACAAAGCTAAAAAGACAGCCAAGTTTTTGCTAGTATTGCTAGGAATACATGGGGCCTTGGTCCTAAGGCTACTAAACTTATTTACAGGGGTGCAATTCAGCCAGCGGTCCTGCAATCCTTTGAACAGATAACAGTTTTTATGGTTATGGACTTTGATAGCCACGTGGCTGCCCAAGTCCATAAGGGATGGCAATTAACTTTCTCTTGCTTTGTTTCAATAGTCTGTATATAGTTGCCTTTCAACTTTGTATTTAATTCTTATTTTCCATCTTCTTTTTCAGTTAATGTTTTAAAAAACAAATTATCGGATCTTGTTTGTTTGTCTTGTCTGTCTAGCTGTTAAGTAGTATTAAGATTTGTGCTCATGTTCAGTTTCATTAGCATTAAGTAGTTATAACTTCTACGCTTAGCTATTTGCGACAGCTGTCACAAATAGCTAAGTGTAGAAGTTATAACTACTTAATGTTCGCTATACTCATGGAGACTATGGCCTTGAAGCCTAAAAACTGCACACCAACGTCAAACATAGAGGGTACTGTAGCCATACGTACACCGTTCTCTACTATCTATCTCCTTTCCCATAACCTCTTTTCTGCTGACTAAACACCTCACGTACAGCTGAAGTCTTTCTTGTATGTATGTATTGTTATTGATGCTAAATTGGTTACAATGTCAGATTGCAGAAAAATATAAATGAACAGTTCAAGGACATTAAGTTTTCATAAGTTAAAATTCTGTATTCTGCAGTATACAGTGTTGTATTTTTTACTAAGCCTCAGAAAATTAAAAAAATACTTTCTGCTTTGTTAATACTAGTTCATATAAATTAATCTCCATTTGATTCTCATTCAAATGTAAAAAAATTTATTTCAATGTTTTTCATAGAGACTTGACAAAAAGTTTTAAATTAATTTGATAGTAGTCAAAAACATGTAAAGGAGATTGATGGTTTGCACCCAAAATAGAAAGCATCATCCTGACCCAAAGAATGCTGTTGTTTAGATCAGCAGTCTGCAAACTTTCTGCCATCACGGACCACTATCACAATTTTTTTTAAAATAATCTATAAAATAATGATCATAAAAGTTCAATTTTACTATATTAATATGAAATAAGTTTATGGATTCTTAGTTATTATTTATTGATAACAGTCAGTTTTAGATTTGAATAAAAACCCCAAACCAACCAAGCATTTTGCATTTCTTTTGTAATACTTCAATGTCCAAATTTCTCCACAGACCACCGGTTGCCAATAGATATAGATTACGTGTAAAAGAAAATTGTTCATTTGCCTTTTGGTGAATGGTATTATTAAAATCAAAAACAGAAAAACTGCTTGTTAGAATGAGTTTTGAGCATAATTTATTGGATCTCTACATGTACTAAAACAATGTGTATTTCTTTTCAGGAGAATGCGTCGATTGGCCAATACTGCTCCCACATGGTAAAAAAGTCTCTCCAAAGTTTTTTTTTTAACTGTAACAAGTTATTACATCTCTGTATATATTTATTATGTATTCTGTTAATTAAATAATCAAATTATGCACATTCTAAACTTGTGTTCTATTTGTCAATTAATAAATTTAGATAATCTAACTTTGGCTTTTGTCTAAGTATCTTCATTCTTGAATGTATCTGTGCTTGATTTCTTTCCATTGTTTCTGAAAAGAAAAGAAAAAAAACCATTAAAATCTATTTTGAAAATGAACAATGAAACAGTTTGAGGTTTTATCAAAGAGCAAGAAGCAAATATTATCACAATTATTTGTCATTGGGGATAGACAATATGGTACATTATATGCAGTTAGTGTTCTCTCCAAGCCAGTTTTAGCAACGAGAAAATTTTCAGTTTTATAAACAACAAACTAAAATGATCATGCTTCATTTTTAATCTTTCCTAATGATAATTTACCATATAGTTCACATAAGTACCTATTGTTTTAATATATATATTTTATGGTGTAGAATAAAGAAATAGAGGGGATTTATCTTAACCATACAGTATATGGTTTTAGTTATATAAAAAATAAAGAAACTGTTTAAGTTTAGAAATTACAGTAGACCTCCCCTATAACACTTATAACCCAGAATTATTAATTCTTGAAGTTAGACTCAAAAATATTAATATGTTTTTGTAAATAGTCTATCATTAAATCCTTTTACACAAACCACAGAAAACACAGTTATATTGGTTAAAAGACAAATAATAAAAAGGTAAAAATTCACATGTTTAAATTGTTGAGTCTATCATTAAATCCTTTTACACAAACCACAGAAAACACAGTTATATTGGTTAAAAGACAAATAATAAAAAGGTAAAAATTCACATGTTTAAATTGTTGAGTCTATCATTAAATCCTTTTACACAAACCACAGAAAACACAGTTATATTGGTTAAAAGACAAATAATAAAAAGGTAAAAATTCACATGTTTAAATTTTTGAGTCTATCATTAAATCCTTTTACACAAACCACAGAAAACACAGTTATATTGGTTAAAAGACAAATAATAAAAAGGTAAAAATTCACATGTTTAAATTGTTGAGTCTATCATTAAATCCTTTTACACAAACCACAGAAAACACAGTTATATTGGTTAAAAGACAAATAATAAAAAGGTAAAAATTCACATGTTTAAATTGTTGAGTCTATCATTAAATCCTTTTACACAAACCACAGAAAACACAGTTATATTGGTTAAAAGACAAATAATAAAAAGGTAAAAATTCACATGTTTAAATTGTTGAGTCTATCATTAAATCCTTTTACACAAACCACAGAAAACACAGTTATATTGGTTAAAAGACAAATAATAAAAAGGTAAAAATTCACATGTTTAAATTGTTGAGTCTATCATTAAATCCTTTTACACAAACCACAGAAAACACAGTTATATTGGTTAAAAGACAAATAATAAAAAGGTAAAAATTCACATGTTTAAATTTTTGAGTCTATCATTAAATCCTTTTACACAAACCACAGAAAACACAGTTATATTGGTTAGAAGATAAAACTTCTTTAAAAGACAAATAATAAAAAGGCAAAAATTCACATGTTTAAAAATGATCAAACGCCAGCCTTTTAAACATGTGAATTTTTACCTTTTTATTATTTGTCTTTTAACCAATATAACTGTGTTTTCTGTGGTTTGTGTAAAAGGATTTAATGATAGACTCTAAAATATTAATGTGTTTTTGTAAATAGTCTAACTTCAAGAATTAAAATATTGAAGAATATCCTGAGTTAACATTGAACATTGTGAATTCCATGTTATACGAGTCGCTTAGATTTTACAAATACGTGTGCCGGACCGTGAACGGCTCACATATTTGTAAAATCTAAGTGACTCGTACAACATGGAATTCATATAACCCAGAATTATCAACAGTGTTATGGGGAGGTCTACTGTAAATAATAATTTCTTTAAAACTATTATTTTTATTTCATAAAATTAAAAACGCTTAAAATAAGGCCAATCATTGACTTGAAAAAGTCCTTACTATGATCCAGACTGCTATAACATTTAATTTTGATAGATAACTTTAGGCAATCCAAAATTTATATTTTTGATTCTAGAAAAATAAAGTACTGCTCAAAACAATGACTAATGAAATTCCAGTTCTACGAAATTAATAATTTATAAAGCTTGCCAAAGTAATTTGTGCGTGTCACTAAACTTTTTAACAGTGTAAAATCCAAAATAATAAAATCCTTGAAACTCTCAAATAAGCATAAGTTCATAATACAGAATCTCACATGACATATTCCAAACATTATAGTTGGTTTTTACTGCATGAAAGCTTTAAGCTTATTTCAAACTGAAAATTCAGAAATACTGTACCATAAGTTGGATATTAAGATAAATTAAAGTGCAACTCTCCTACAAGCAAACAATAATAATTTTTAAAAAATGTTTACGTTACTTAAAGTTGCGAATACACTTAATATACACAATCCGTTATAAAGAATATCCAGAAATAATAATTGATTCTATGAGGGGAAATGCAGAGTTTGCAAATACAATCTGATAAGAATATTAATCAGATTTCAAGAAAAGAATTCAGTTAATATAATTTGCACCTTTTCAAATAAACCTACATCTTCATTAAATTAAATAATGCATAAGATGACCCCCGGATTTTGGGGGCATCTTATGTGACAATGTAGACAAATGTCATTTCCACCCACCATTTTAACTTATTCCAACATACAGTGGTACCTCAGGATATGAAATTAATCCGTTCCGAAACTGAGATCGTATCATGAAAATGTCGTAAGGTGGATCATCTTTTCCCATATGATTACATGTAAAACCAAATAATTCGTTCCAACGCGAAAAACATACTCAAATTAAAGCCAAGTAATACATTAAAAAAAGTAACTGTAGTAAGAAAAACAAATGAAAAATGCGAACTAATGTAACGTCGTATGGTGAGTTTTTGTTCGTATCGTGGAGCAAAAATATGTTCGAATTTCATGTCGTATCGTGAAAATTTCGTATGCTGGGGCGTTCGTAACCTGAGGTACCACTGTACTAACTACAGAGGGCACCACAAAATATTTAAAAACAAAAACTCCTGGAGTCATTCTTTACACCAATATCTTATCTCATACAGCATCTTGGAATGAAATATTTTCAACTGCTTAGACCAGGGCTTCTTAAACTTTCTTTATTCACGACCCCATTTATGATTGTGATTTTTTTCGCGACCCAAAAAAAAAATATAAAATAAAGATATATACAGTACAAATTTGCAAAAACAATAATGGTGTACTACCACAGTCACTCTTGTGTTACAATAGAACAGAGACAACTGAATACACTGAAAAGCGACAAACTATACTAGTTCACACTACAATCAGTGTTGCTGAATCATTGTCTCTCTGCAACAGAAGTGATACAAAGCGCAACTCACGAAACCTATGACACAAAGCGTGCCATTTTCAAACTCACAAATTATTTTCAATATTTTGCAACAAAATCTCGCGACCCCAAGATTTCGCTAAGCGACCCCAAATGGGGTCGCGACCCATAGTTTAAGAAGCCCTGGCTTAGACAATTGGGAAAAGGTAGTAAATAGAAGTTTCAGTAAGACAATAATTTATTTAAAATGAAATCTAAAAACTTTTAAGCTTACACTAGTTCATAACTAAAAAGGTTCTTTTTCAGTTATGAACAAGTGTAATGCTTATTAAAAATAAAAAAAACTGAAGTCTGCAGAAATATACGGTATAAAATAAGACAATAGTTGAATCATAAAAAAAGGGCCCCCAAAATCCAGGGTCATCTTATAGGACAGATTGAAATTTATATAAATTAAAATCATTATAAAAAACAGAAAAAGTAATTATTTAATAGTAGAGAGTAAGGTATGTCCACAAAATAGAATAGCCCATACATTTTTGTGAATAGTCAAGGTCATTACCCGAATGCCCTAAATCAGTGAAAATGCTGCCAGATGCAAGAAAATAAACTTTGTTCATTCGAAAAATTAAGAATAGGACATAATTCCATATATGCTATACAGTATCATTATCCAGATGATTGCTGATCTGATCTAAATTCATAGGCCATTGATAGTTTGGGGGTTGTCTTATATGCTAAAACTATAAAACTTTGACAAAAATTTATACCTCGTCTAGTCTGCGGAAATATACGGTAATTACTGCTATATTTATATTGCATTTATCAATTTTTTCCTCATGGCAATGAGTACTTATACAATGTATAGTAATTTATTCCAATTCTGTTCTTTCTTAAACAGCCACAAAATTTAAAACATTATCTGTCAATCTTACACATTTCTGTACAGCAAATTGTTAGTTCAGTTTTTAATCTTTTTATAACATATAATGATCAAATCTAAACTCTACATTAATTACCATAAATTACTAAAGAGAAAACTGTATTGACGGCAACTTATTTAAATGACCGATGACCAAAATTAGTACCCACTTGTGTGATATGTAAATTCAATGTGTATAATTGTATAATTTTAACTTGTATGCAAACATTTATCAAATCTTTAATATTAAAGATTCCCTCATATATTACATAATTTTCCTCAAACAAATTCTTTATTTAAATGTTTTGCTGAAATTATGATGACAAAATTCATATTTACATTCTTACTGAATTATCATTAATTGCAATGTTTATCAGAATATAAGAAAGAGAATGTGAAATAATCAGTGAAGTTCTTTCCCAAACTCAGTCTTCGTTGAGTTGGTTTGCTGTATTCATCACGACTCAATTAGATGTGATCCAGGTTCGTTGGAAGAACACCTCCACACTCAAGTTAGACAATATTTACAGTTTATTTACAAATCATGTATGTAGAGTGTACAACTCGAAAACAGTATATGGGGCCATCCATAAATTACATAAGGTATTTTGGGGTGGGTGGGGTCAAGGATTTACGATTTCTTACTTGGGTAGGGGTTAATAGATCTCGTCTTACGTAATATTCTTATTTTTTGATCTCGTTGAGTGGTGGCGTTTTGAATTTGGCAGTTTCTAATTAAGAATGCTCGTTGTATCGTTGTATCGTGTGACGTGATAGAGTAATAACACTGGCAGATTCTATAAGAGAAGC